AACATCACATGCTTAAAAAATTCCAAGATCTTGGTGTAAGAAAGCATCGGAGATTTGTTTGTTGGCGTTTTGTTAATGTTATGTGTCGTTTTATTGGACAAATAAGTTCTGGTTTGGCGGCTAGACACATGGTATTTTTCTAATTGTGCTTTTAAATAATTAAGATTAGGTTAGAGTTGAAATTTTTCAACATTATGTCACGGATTCGTTGCATTTATTTTCCCTCTGTTTCTAATTCAAAGTTCACATCAACCTTTTATTTAAAGATTAATTTTGCTTCCAAATACTGAACTCTTTTTGTTTTCTTCTTTGAGAAAAGATCAAAGAAAAAAGAAAAAAGGTGACCCATACCTAATTTTATCTTATTATTGAGTTCCATGACTTTAATCTTTGCGTAGCAAGAATTACAATTAACTCTTTTTGATTGATAAGTTACGTAATTTGATATTTATTTATTTATTTAATAACATTTAATAACATATAATAATTAATGAACACTATTTTTGAAATTGGGTTGTGCTTGCTAAAAAGTAGAGATATATAGAGACAGAGATACAGAATAGGTAGGGTTGGAATCATGTTCATCTATAAGTTTGAAGGGATTAAGAGGTTAAAGGCTAAAATTACAAGTTTGAGATATTGAGTTAAAATATTGAGGCAAGTGTGAAATAATTGAAAAAATTAAAAATTTATTTTTTATTGTGTAATTTATAATAAAATATATATGTATATAAAAAGTTTCAAAAAATTAAAAAAAATAAAAGGGCATCAAGTTAAGATTTTATGAGAAAAAAGTTAAAATCCCACCCAAAAATTATTAAAATTAAGAGTCCTACCTTTAATTAATCTTTCTTTTAAAGATAAAAGAAAAAAATTTGCTAAAACTCAAGCTTGACAAAAGGAAAATGTCATACCCTTTCCTAAATTTTTGGTTCTGCCACTAAAAGTAGTTATAAGTTTTGTGAAAAAAAATAAAAATAAAAATAAACCTGTCATTCAAACTAATCATCCCAGGTAATTCCCTTCACATAATCAGACGGTTATAGGAATATCAATCAAATTCGATAAGATAACATGCGAAAAGACAACATAATAGTTCTGTGATAGTTATCTATAAAAATAAAAAATAAAAATTATGCGATAGTTAAAAATTATGTGATATTAACTATAAATTATGTTGATCCTTAAAAATTCAACAAGATATATATTGATAATCAATTATTGAGATATTATTTATTATACATGTTTTTTATTTTGTACATATTAATTATATGAGTTAATTAATAAAAAATATTCACTTTGTTTATTTTTAATAAATGTAATTTAACTTTTAAGATAGAAATTTTAAATAAAAATTCAACAATTTATATAAATAATGATTAATTTTTTTTTGTTTTTATATATAATTTTTGTTAAGTATTTTTATTTAATTAAAAAAATTAATTATTATTTATATAAATTGTTAAAATTTTATTTAAAATTTCTGTTTTAAAAATTAAAAAATCAAAATTAATTTACTAAAAATAAATGGAATAAGTAAATAATTAGGAGAAGCAGCTCCCTTTTATAGTTTTTTTTTTTTTTTTTATCTTTTTTTATTCCACAATGTTAGCAACTCTTTCATTTTACTTTTTCTTTTTATCAATATGCCCATCGATCAAACTATTATCTCTTATTTTTATAAAAAAAAATTAATACTAAATCATTTATCTTATTTTATTTTATTTTTACTAAAAAATTAATATTAAACCGCTTGTCATTTTTGCCTTTTTATGAATTAAAAAAGGGTCAATTTTGTGACAACGAAAAAGGGGCGGCAAATTGCAGCCGAAAGGTCAATTAATATGTCAAATTTACCAAAAAAGCCCAAAAATAAGACTTGTTGGAGCTTGATTAAGATCTTACATCATAAGACATAATTTTTTTAAGAGAGACCTCAAATTCAAAACGTTTTTCACAGTTTTTTTGTTAAGTTTTAAAGATAAAATTTACTTATGAATGATTATTATAAACCTCTTAAACGTCAAAACGTTATGATTTTTATATTTTTGTTTTTTTTTAATTATTTAATTATAATTTATTTTATTTATATATTTCGAAATTTAAAATTAAAATTTCGTATTTTTATTAAAACATTATTATTAAATTACTTAAGTTATTCATAAAATTGATTAAGCATTAAATTTGCAAAAAAACAGCATAAAAAAAGGTAAAAGGACGGATCAATGATAATCAGTAAATTTTACTACATAATCAGTACTAAAAAGAAGACGAGATCCACTTGATGATTTATTGTACTCTTCATAACGGTTAATTATTTTAATTAATTACTTTAATTAGTACCATAAATAACAAAAGTTTCCACGCGATGATGCAGCGCGTGATGATGTAATGTAACTGCTAAGTAGGCTGTGTCCGCCGTTGTCCGAAACACATTTGGAGTCTCAGTAACTACCGGCGGTTTCCTGCGATACCATTGGGCGGTACTTTCTACTTCCCGTTTGTAACGTGTGTAAGTAATTTACGACGGATCTTTGGAAACTTGGTCCTCAATTTTTAGTCCATTTGAAGATTTTTCCCTTCTGTTTTATCAGTTTACATTTTCAACCCGATTGCTTTGCAAACTTTTCAATGGAACCATTTTATTATGTTCTAAACTCTAATCCCCCATTTCACCTCTAGATCTACCAAAAACTAGATACAAAGAAAAAACCGTATGCATAACTTTTCAAAACGATTTTTAAATGACAACTTAATTACTAGAATTGGAAATCTCTAACTTAACAAATTTTGAAATAGATAATATAAAAGAAATGCATTTTTGTAGTTGGTATTTTATATGCCATCATTTCTTAATTTAAAGGTCAATCAATTAGTTTTCTTTGACCTATAACTTGAATTGAATAGTTATTTGTAGTAGCAAGAGTTTCTATTAGAGATGGAATGGAAGGAGAGGATAATATTAACTAATTAATTAAAAGCCTAAAACTTAAGACTTGTAATTACATCATAAGTTGGTTTACCCCCAAGTTACCAAAGGGTAATTGGCAAGTTAACCCTTTACCACTAAACCAAAACATTATTGGAAAGTCAAAAGAGTGCTAAATTGCCTACTCCATGTACAAGCTTCCTGCCAATTTCCACAAGCTTCCGACCAATTTCCTTACCAGTGAAATTTAGATAGATAAGAAATTAAATATAGTAACTTGGAGGTGTTTGGTTAGAAGTTAAAAAAAAAAAAAAATCGGCTTTCAATTTTTTTATACTTATTAGTTAACTAATTAATTTTTTTTACGCTTATTAGTAGACTAATTAATTTTTTTTATTAAATTTACTGATATTCAAAAACCACATTGAACACCAATTAATTCAAAGTTGAGTTACATCACTTTTGTAAAAGAAAGCTCTCTTAATATTTATTTCTCTATTTATAATATTCAAATTTAAAATTTTATTTAAGAAAATTGAGATCCTTCAACTTAAATAAAAATGATTGATATTAGTAAACTAATTAATGAAATATCACAATAGTGACTAATTTGTGCCAAACAAGCTCCCACATAACCATTACAAAAACCAAAAAAGAATTTAGACTCCATGATCTATCGATCTAATTTAGTTGTCCTACTAAATATGAAATTATAGTAATCCAATCATAAGAAATTTACTACTTTTCTATAAGCGGGTGAAAAAGTATTTATTACTAAAAAAAAAGAAAAAATGATAAACGGACTAAAAAGCCTCCTACCATAAGAAGGTTAGCAGAATAATGCAATTAAACTGAAAATCTAAAAACCCCAAAAAAGCAGAAATTTATAGAAGAAAGAAAAAATACAGTAACAACGAAAAAAAAAAGGGGAAAGAGTAAAGCTTGTTCGTGTCTGTAAAAAATGAAAAGAGAACACCCCCACCCCCTCCTTCAAATAATGGAGGAGTGTGGTGAGCCATTGGATATTTGCAGATGGGAAGATGGAGAATCCCAATGCTCAGAGAGACAGAGCACCACTGCACACTGTTCACTCTCCCCTAGTCACCAATTAAACTAAGCTTTATCTCTCTCCCCTATCATCCCAACCCCACCCCACCCCACCCCCCTATCCACCATCTCCATCCCTCCACTTTCTCTCTCTCACCAAACCAACAAAAACCCTCACTCATTTTTCCATACCCATGATCTAGAGTCTCAAATCTCAATCTTATCTATCAGAAAGTTGAAACCTTTCAAAAGGGTTCATCGGATCGGAGGTCGAGCCTGTCATGCGTAACGACCGCGCCGAGCGAATGTCTGAGGACGACGACCATCGATCCCAGCCTTCGGATCTGGATTTCACTACCAACAAGGCGCGAAACTGTTCCCCTGTGGCGTCGGGGTCCGGGTCAGGGGTTACGGAGGAGTTTCAGCCTACGTACCTGGACGAGGTTCTGGACAACGTTCTAGAGAACGTGCTCGACTTCCTCACCTCGCGCCGGGACCGCAACGCCGCCTCATTGGTGTGCAAGTCGTGGTACCGGAAGGAAGCGCACACGCGATCCGAACTCTTCATCGGGAACTGCTACGCGGTGTCGCCGGACCGGGTTACGGCCCGGTTCACGAAGGTCCGATCCCTGGTGCTGAAGGGGAAGCCCAGGTTCGCGGACTTTGGCTTGATGCCACCTGGTTGGGGGGCTCACTTCAATCCGTGGGTTATGCCCTTGGCTAGAGCTTACCGCCCTTTGCTGGAGAAAGTCCATCTGAAGCGTATGTCAGTGACTGATGATGATCTCGAAATGCTCGCCGAATCTTTCCCGGGGTTCAAGGAGCTTGTGCTGGTTTGCTGTGATGGGTTTGGGACTAGCGGGCTTTCTGTTTTTGTTCGCAAGTGCAGGTATTTAGCTCTTCACTTTTCTAAATTTTTTTGGTAATGATGAATATGGGGTTTTAGACTATATCTTAAACAATGGCCGATTAGATCTGTTTGTGACTTTGTAATGAGAAGGTTTGTAGAAATTGATATGTGTGTTGAAGGGTAATGGAAAATTTTGGAGCTTTGCTAAATTTTCTAGTCTCTCTTTTGTCTGTATATTTGAATGATTAGATCATGTCATCTGTGTATATGTTAAGAATCAATGGCATGCTTGGAATGGTATTGATTTGCAGTTGGAAAGGAAAAAGTATGTGGGGAACTTTATAGATATTGATTGGTTTATTTCTATATTTTTCAGACAGCTAAGGGTGCTGGATCTGGTGGAGTCTGAAGTTTCAGATGATGAGGTAGATTGGATATCGTGTTTTCCTGAAGGGGAATCATGTCTGGAGTCACTGATATTTGATTGTGTTGAATGCCCGATTAATTTTGAGGCATTGGAGAGGCTTGTATCAAATTCTCCTTCACTGAAAAAGCTTGGGCTGAACCGACATGTTTCCATTGGGCAGCTATACCGCTTGCTGTTGATTCGAGGTCCACAGCTTGCTCACCTTGGGACAGGCTCATTCAGCCTGTCAGAACTGGCACCACATGGTGATCAAGAACAAGAGCCAGATTATGCATCTGTTTTTTCTGCCTGCAAATCCTTAGTTTTTCTCTCTGGGTTTAGGGAAATAATTCCAGATTACTTGCCTGCAATCTACCCAGTATGTGCAAATCTAACTTCTCTGAATTTCAGCTATGCTAACATCGATGCAGAACAGCTTAGGCCAGTCATAAGAAATTGCCACAATGTCCAGGTCTTTTGGGTATGTGTTTAATGTGTTGGTTTATGAGCATTGTGTAGCAATTTAGGCATTAAAACTCACTTTGGTATTTTTTATGCAGGCCCTTGATTCAATATGTGATGAAGGCCTTCAAGCAGTGGCTGCAACATGCAGGGAACTCCGCGAGCTTCGGGTCTTCCCTATTGATGCTCGGGAAGACGGTGAGGGGTCTGTTTCTGAAGTGGGCCTGCAAGCAATTTCTGAAGGTTGTCCGAAATTGCAGTCTATTCTGTTTTTCTGCCAGGAGATGACAAATGCAGCTGTGATAGCCATGTCTAGGAACTGCCCTGATCTTGTGGTATTCCGTCTATGCATAATGGGTCGCCACAGACCTGATCATGTTACTGGAGAACCAATGGATGAAGGATTTGGAGCCATCGTTATGAACTGCAAGAAGCTCACTCGCCTTGCAACATCTGGTTTGCTGACTGATAAAGCTTTCCACTACATTGGGAGATACGGCAAATTGGTACGCACACTGTCATTTGCTTTTGCTGGAAACACTGACTCGGGACTGAAATATGTGCTTGAGGGCTGTCCTCAATTGCAGAAGCTTGAGATAAGAGATAGCCCATTTGGAGATGCAGCTCTGCATTCTGGTTTGCATCAGTACTACAACATGAGGTTTCTTTGGATGTCCTCATGTAGATTAACCCACGAAGGTTGCCGGCAGGTTGCTCAAGCTCTGCCACGCCTAGTGGTTGAAGCGATTGGGTCACCAAACAAGGAGAATATGGAGATGGATGACCCTGTTGATACACTATACATGTATCGGTCTCTTCAAGGGCAAAGGAATGACGTTCCAGAGTTTGTCACTATCTTGTAGGCATCTGTGGTGCAGGAAGTTTCTCTTTACTGTTCTTTACGATGGATACTGCACTAGTCTAAACTGTTTCACAGAGAAATTGGCTATGGGCATATTTTAAATGACCCGCGTGAAGATTCCTGCAATCACTTTCAATTATCAAGCAAAATTTGGTTAAAGCCTACTGCTTGGGCTTGACCTGTTTCTGCCATTCACATTCATGGCAGAGGCTCTGTGGAGGAAAACAGTTTGTTATTGTTGGAGCTCTCAACAAGGACTGGACTAGTGCGGAAGATAGTTGTCTCCGTAAGTAATTGGATCATTGGATAGTGTTGTAGTGGCATGCATTTACATTTTTATTTTGTTACTCTTTTTGTTTTCATATTCATTTTGTGGTCAACTAAGGAAGGTAGTGAGAAGAAAGTAGGGAGGGCTATTGATCTATATTATATGGATAAAGGTCTCATATCTGTTTTTTCTTGGAACAAATTGCGTTATCTTTCCATAAAATGCTCAAGATGATTCAGAAGAGATTGAGATGGGTGGAAAGCAAAGAATTAAAATCCAAAAGCGAGTTTTATCTCTTGAACCAAGTTAGTCCTATGCTTCTCTTGCTTCACATTTGGTAGATATGGTTTAAGCTCTAGCGGGTGAGACTAAATGCTCAGAAGGCCAGAACTTACACATCTCTGTCTTCCTTAGCATTCGTTTTTTGTTTTTTTGTTTTTTTGTTTTTTTCCTAGATGTGTTGTTATTGTTGTTATTGTTAGCAATGTGAGATGAGAAATAAAATGCCAAATATGCATTAGACCATATACTTTTAATGAAACACTGTTCTTTGCCTTTTGTTCTAGTAATTTCTCCGGTCCAGTATGTGGAATGATGGATTGATGGATGGGGGGAGGAGGACGAACCCCTTTAATTATGTGTGGAAAGTGTTGCACAAGTACACACGTTCTAGGACCCTCACCCACCTCCCTTGCAGGGCCGATGGTCCTGATCATTTTTTCATGTCCTTTTGTTTATATATATATATATATATACCTTTTCATGGTTCCCTAAATTTAATGGAGCCATCCGAATCTTTTTTTTTTTTTACTGTGTTCTGTTTAATCCAGCATCTGGATTCATAATTCTAAAGCAGAATTGTGTGTGGAACTGAATTTTCTTGAGTTGAGATAAAGCGACATTAAAAAAGAAGGAAAAAAAAAAAAAAACCTGGACTCGAAACAGAACTTATACAAAAACTCAGACAAAACTAGTTATCCAATTACCTTATCTTCTAAGTGGTTTGACTTATATTGGGTAGACTTTGCTATGGTTTGTTTGTTGGCATTGTGGGACCTGATGATTTGTCACAACCCTGGGTTTTGCGTTATAATGCAGCCAAGTCCACCTATTTTCTTCCTCTTGTCTCTCTCTTATTATTGGAATGGAAAATCTATCTGCCCTTCTTTGTTGGTATTCTCTGTGCCAGGATGGTAAAGCAAACTTATCAACAAAGTGGGATCTGACGCTGCAAATTGTGTAAGTGATGTGAACCAAAGCTTGGCTTTGGCTTTCTTTCTTGTCTATCTATTTCTAAGGGCATAAAGTGGACTAAAACCCTAGTTTCTTTTTCTTTTTTTTTTTTCCTCTTATTTTTCCTTTTTGGTTGCAATCCAATTTAGTTAAAAAGTAAGTTATTCACTACAAAATTAGGAAAAAAATATATTCTCCTGACTACTTCCCATCCGCCCCCAAAATCTCAATTTGGGGTGTTTCTGTATGCATTATTCTACTTAGCATAAGAGAAACAAATCAATGGAGAATCAAAGTGAGGTACCTGCATGTGGTGTGAACAGTGATGAGAATGATCATTTTGCTCAAAAATGGTAACCCTTTGCTTTTTGATTCTTGTCTTTAAGTTTGCCTTTTGTTTTTCCTTTTGAGCAACCATCCTTGTCTCCAAGGAAGAAAAAGAAAAGGTGAAAGCAAACAAACTGATAAAGACTTTACACAAGGACCTGGATTGTCCCAATCTTAGCCCTTCCACACCTGAAAAAATAAAAAGAAAATGCCCCTTTTGATGGACCTCCCTCGGCTACTACCCATCATTTATCCAAAGAAAAACACCTCTTTAATTGGATGGTCCAAATTCTTGCAACGGTAGATTTAGTTTTATCTATTACTGATTAAGTTTATCTTTTCGATCTAGTCAGGCCGACTGTCAACGATAAAAAAGTACTAGCATATTGAGAGGAAATTATTTGTTAGTATCTTTTTCTTAGATATTGAATCTCGATTAACAAATATCAGCATAAACTCGATGAGACCTAACTTTTTTAGAATGTGGTTGAAATTGATCAAGTACAAAAGCTCAATTTGGCTGGCACATGGACTTGTATTTGTATTATATATGCAACAAAACATAAAAGAATAAACAACAATGATAACTTCAAAGTTGGATTTATGAATAAGTGTCGTGATTGTAAGTTAAGTTTGTTATTGTAAATCAAGTTTATTATCTAGTCTTGAAACTAGTAAAAAAAATTAATTTTTTTAAATACAATAAGTTGATATGAGATACAATTTTAAAATTACTTAAAAAGAAATTAATCTGAAGATTTACAAAAATTAATATGAAAATACTCATATTGAAAGCACCCATATTACTGTATCTTTTTTATACATTATTAATTAATATTAAAAGAGTAAAAATTAATTTTATTTAAATAATTATTTAATTAAAATAATTTATGTAATACTAAAAATAAAAGTAATGATTCTTTTTATATTTTTTAATATTAATTAATATAAAAAATATAATAACTATACTCTTAATAGATACAAAATAAAAAAATCTTAAAATGATAATAGTAATAATAAACAACAATGTTATATATATGGAAAAAAGCTTATTAATTTTGATTTTAAAAAATAATTAGAATTCTAACTTTAAATTATATCATTTAATTAAAATTTGATTTAAAAATTAAAAATTTATCTTATTAGATATTAATATTTAAATTTAAAAACTTATTATATATTTTTAATATAATCATTTTTTAAATTCAGATATTAATATTTAATAAAATAAAATTTTAATTATTTTAAAAAATTAAAATTGATACATATTAAACTCATATATATATATATTGTTCTTTTAACTTCGACCTCGCCTGCGGCCTGCCTAAATTAAAGCGACCCTGATTCAAGATAACATAAAGGAATACATGTTGCAAAGAGCAAAAGTTGGGCTGCTTTGGGGCTGATTGGGTTGGTCCATGTGGGCCCACCACCAGATCAAATTGAAGTTGTGGGCCACGTGGACGGTACGGGAGGTGGGATACATTAATGGCTCTATATGCATCAGAAAATGTTAATTTTAATACATACTCCTATAAATAATATCAAGCATTAAATTATAATACTTTGTAAAAATAAAATAAATAAAAATAAAATTGGTGGATTGACAGAACGTAACAACAAATACAAAACAAACAAAAACCCACTTGGTGTTGGTGGGATGCCCCAAATTTTGTTCAGTCGGCGAAGCTGAGATGTTGAGATCGGAAGAGATAGAGTAAATAAAGAAAAGGGTTGTCGTAAATGATTTAAATAATTGAATAATTATTTTTTTATTAAAAAAAATTTTGAATTCAAATTATATAATATGTAGGTGAAATAAAATAAAAAATAAAAAATAATTACCACAAATTTGGTTCGGTTGACAAAGCTGAGATATTGAGATTGGAAGAAATAGAGTAAATAAAGAAAGGGTTGTAAACACTAAAAAAAAAAAGATTTTGAATTTGAGTTGTATAATATATGGATGAAGTGAGATAAAGGATAAGAAATGATTATATCCTATTGTGCAACTAAGATAAAAAAAAATTATCTATCTTATATCCTTTTTAAATAATAATTATATATTTTATTTATCTTATATCATTTTTAAATAATAATTATATATTTTTTTAAAAATAAAATTTTATATTAAAAAATAATTTTTAATTTTTAATGTAAAA